TATTTGTAGTATGAGTATGGCATCCTACAACTTTTTAAAATGTGACTGCTACCCTCAGCGATTTTTAATGCCTCCTTTTTTTAGCACATGGAAGTGGAATTAATCTTGATTTCCTGGCCTGGGAAATATTCCTATGGACTTCAGTGAGCTGCTGCTGATAGGGCTTATCAAGAGGCACTGCTTTTTAACACCTCTTGATAAGTAGTTGTACATTCTAATGGCTTTTTAGGAGCTAATCTAGAATAGCTTCAAAACTATTTCTTAGGAACTGTGAGAAGGATGAGGTTTTATTTGTGGCAACCTTTCAGGTAAATATTTGCACAGTCTCACAGAGTTCTCTGAAATACTTGTGATGTTACTGCACAGGCACGCTGAATAGAGCTCACCTCAGTTGAGGTTTGTTGAAAGGCCAGGACACTGCAGGACCCTGATTTTGATGACTTTGAGACATTCAGTCAATTGTCTTTGATCTCTGCCAAAGGATAAATGGAGTAAATTAAAGTCATTTTTTAAAATCATCACAATAAAAATACTCAGTGCCACTTCCTGAAGAAGTGTCTAGGAAATCTTGTTAATGAAGTGGCATTAAAAATCTTATTTATCTCCTTTCCTTCTTCATTCATAACTGGATTTTTTTAAACCTTTCTATACTTCATGTGCAAGTCATCATAATTTTTAGTACTGACTGTTAAACAGCAATCTTCACTATGTTTCTTTCCTCCTGTCCAGGTGACAAGGCAGGAACTGTCCAGTGAAATTACTCTGTGAAAAGTTCATGAAAATGAATCTGGAATCACCTCTTTGCTTGTTTGCCCTCTTTTTAATTCTTGTTTTAAATTTTGTTGCCCCACTAACCTTTTCTCCACACCGTCATATCATGATTATATTATGTTCACATTTATGTTGTTGAAACTTCTAGGTGGTCATAAAATGGTTGGAAATAAATAAAAAAAGCAAGTAATATTTCCTTTCTGGCATCATCAATGCCATAATGTGTTGGCTTGCCCTTCTTTAAGGTTGAGCTTTGCACTGAAATGACTCCCTTGCTTTCTCAGTGAGTTCTGTTGGTTTGCTGGATACAGAAATTATTTGGATGGAATTTTGGTTGCGGTGTATTAGGTTCATGTAGAATGTTTTGGATGCTTTTATGCTTCCTCCTTTTAGAAGATGAACTTGACTTCATTCATTTGCGCTTTGACTCTTCTGTCCTCTTCCATCTCTGCTTACATGTGGCTGCTTTTATTTAGGTCTAACTGTGAAGAACTAGTTCAGTGGTTTTTTTTTATTATTGTTCTGGGGTTTCTTTTTCAATTGTTGATAACCACCACAGGGCTCAGCAAACAGCTGATGTTGTTTCTGTTTCAGGAAATAGCCTGAAACACCTATTGGAGCAATATGTAAATTTGTAAATGCAGGAAGCAAGCTGTTGCCAGTATAACTCTGCCTTCTTTGGCCAGTAGAATTCCCAGTGTTGAATTAGGATATCTGGAGGTAGTTATTCCATCCTATTGACTTGGGCATGGAAACAGCCTATGGGGATCCCTGTGTAAAAGCTTTGGAAACCAATAAACAATTATGGCTTGGTGTGTGCTGAGGAAGGGCTGTTATTCCTTGCATGGAGAGCCAGGGTAAAAGGCAGCAGGTCGGGTGTCATTACAAAATCCTGCTTAGATTTTTAGGGTTTCTTTGCCTTTCATTCTGCCTGTTGCCTTTTTGGGATGTTGGCTCCTGGCCAGCAAAGGGCACAGGAGGTGTGAGGGGGTCGTGAGCTGATGCTGCTGTAATGAGGCAAAATCAGGGTCTCATTTTTGCCCAAAATTCACCAAAATTCAGTGAGGGATTAAGGAGCACGTGGTGATGAGGGCCATGTGCAGCTGAGCAATACAACTCTCCAGGGCACAGAGGGACTGTCACTGTGGCAGGGAGGAGAACAAGCTTCTGCAGGGCTGAGAGTCTGGATAGTCCATTTTTGATTAAATAGGATGTTGACAGACAAACTGTGCTGCAACTTTTACTTAAAGACCTGATTTGCAGAAATCTGTAGAAAAAAATAAAAAATGCAAAAAAGCTATTGGATTGAATTTGTTTTGAATTAATCTATTATTTTTATTTTTTTGTATTGTTGTTTGGCTGTGTTCCTCTTTTGATTTCATTTTTGACAAATTTACTGGAAGTAGTGATGCATTCCTTTAATCTTAATGACCCATGATTAAGATAGCATAAAATTACCACTCCTAAGGCATATGTAAAAATCTTGGATACTTCAAATGGCAGCTGCCAGCTAAGGCAACACATTTTGCTTTATTCATCAGTGAACTGTGTCAGTGGTGGCTTTTTACTCTTTGTCACTTCTGTCATTAGAAACAGTGGCTTTTTTCCTGTACTTTGAAAGTATTTCTTTTATGGAAGAAAAACCCACTCAGTTTGGGACCTTCTGTGTTGCTGGAGGTGTAAATGCTGGTTCTGCTCCATCCATACTGGAGTTTTTGAAATTTAGGGGCAGGACTGATGGGTCCCTTTCATTATTTGGTGCTGGAAGGTGATAGCAAGCCAACCCTCAAACCTCTGGTACCCTGTGACACCTTGAAGCTCTGATGGGGGAACTCCACCCCAGTTCTCTTGCCTGGGACCTCCAGCTCCCTTTAAAGGACTCCTGAAGTTTGTTTTTTTCAGAAGCACCCAGTAAAGTGTTGTAATAGCTGAGCAGACCTCAGGAGGAATGAGGGCAGTGAGAGGGAAGGACAGATGTACATTCCCACTGAACTCTTGTGCACCATCAGAGTGGGTTTAGGACACTTTTAAATGGTCTATTTAAATTTATCTGATGTGTGAGGTGAGTTAGGGGCCAAATATTGGATTAGATAGGGCAGACCAGTCCCTTGTAGCTCTCTAGTTGTTGGGGAGTGTTTGATGGTCACTTTGCTTCTCCATGACCCAGCTTCCTTATCTGAGAAGCTGTTGCACTTCCCTTGATGTGTTTGTAAAACATTTTGAAGTGTGGGAGTGATGTGTGCTTAGGAAAACCAGATTATGTCATTATTGGATGCTACAGATTGATTTTTTGCCTGAAACATTTGCAAAGCTAACAGGAGTTCAGTGATTTTGGTTTCCTGTAGTTCTAAAACACTGGAAAATATGTAAATATAATATAAGTATAATATAAGTATAATATAATATAATATAATATAATATAATATAATATAATATAATATAATATAATATAATATAATATAAGTATAATATAATATATTCCTCTATTTTATAACAGGGAAAATGTTATTAATCAGAAACTGGATAGGAAATAGATTAACAAGAACGTAATTGGGAGTGATGGTGGAACACCAGCTAAGCAAGACAGACATTTTTTTCCTCAGTTCATTTGAAAACCAATAAAACCAAACCAAAACCACTCCCAGAAACTCCCCCCAAAAAGTGAGGAACATTTTTCTGTGTTAATTTGCAAAGCCTTTCAAATGGTAATGTGAAAAAATTTCGGATTTTTTTTTGGTCATAGTACCTGTTGGCTTATCTCAGAATCACAACTTCTCTCTGGTATCACTAAACCTCCTAACCCTTTTATTCCTTCTCCTTTTCAGAGAACAAGGAACAGAAACAGCTTCCTGTGATTTGTTTGTCCCCAAGTCTGGGCAGAGCTGCACTTCCCCACGGCTGTGAAGAGCTGGGCAAGGATGGATGGGACATAAAGCAAAGCAGAAGTCCTGGAGCCTTAGTCACCAGTCTGATGGACTTTCAGTGAGTATGAGTAAGGCTCACCTGTGTGCCACACAAATAAGTGCAGTGGTGCATTATTTACATGTTTGCTGATAAGCAAATACCAGCATCAGCCTTCCTGAAGTGTCACAAAGGATTGGCACGCTTGAGGGGCTGAGCAGCTGCTGGAATCTGCTTCAGTGACATTTGCAGTTCAGTTTTGGGTGAGATGATGCCTTGACAGTGGTTTTAAAGGATAACCTATTACTTTGGGCTGAATTATGTTGTGCTTTTACACACCCTGCAGTGCAGGGTTTTGCCCTGCAAGGTAGAGACAGCTATTTCTCAGTGCAGGACTGAGGCACTTTCTAGGCTTTTTTTTTTCTTGTAGAGCAGCATGAGAGGACTCAGCAGACAGCAGCATTTATCAGAATGATTTCTTGTGGAGGTGTATAACTGCCTATTTTAGATCTGCACCAGCAAACATTTTTGTATTTCTAGTGTCTGTGGCAAACATTTTCCTATTTCTTGTGTCTGTGGCAATCAGTGGTTTTGCTCAACGTTAACGTTTAACTTTAAAATAAACTGCTGGATGCTTGAAACATTCAGTGCAGCACCTCTCTTTACCTCTGTTTGCAAAACCCTCAGTATTGCTGTGGCACAATTCCCCTGCAGTGCTTCTCTCCATGTTGTTGGTTCAGTGGCTACAACACACAGCCAAGAAAACAACTCTTTAGAACACATAAAAGTGAAAAAAATGTGGCCTGTGGGGGCTGCAGGTATCATGAACTGGTTGAATTTGTGTTTGCTGATGCTGTGCTGGTTTCTGTGTCATAAACCTCAGAGAGACACTTGAGTACGTGTTGAGAGAGGGCCTGGCCATGGCACTGACACTGTGTGGGTCCCTGCCAGGAGATTCTCTGACTCTGGTTCTGCCAGCCAGAGTGAGCACTGACTTGACCTTCTCAGTTTGTGCTGCCCTCGTGCTAATGAATAGTTGCCACTGTATAATCCTCAGGCTTGCATTGAGAGGCTGCTGAGATCTGATTTCATGCTCACCTTGGTTTGTACCCTCTCTTCAAATGCTTCCGCTTGGTTCGGAGTTTCAGTGTTTTTTAAATTTGTTTTATTCCCCCTCTCTGCAAATCTGGCCTTTTTCCAAAGGGAAAACTGACAAGAAAGCTGGACAAAGCCCCCAGTGGTGATTGTTTTCTTTTTTGTTTGTTTGTATAGGTTCACACTTTACTCCCCAACACTTGAATTGTTTCTGTACTGTTGACAAAGGAAAAATGACCTCTACTCTAGTAAGTAAACAAAAATATTCACAATATTCCTTTCTCATTTTTTTTCTTTTAATTTGGTTTTATTTCTTTACACATAACAGCCCATTGAGCAATGTCCTGATTAACAAGTCTTTTAAAACATGGACTATTTGTTGTGTTTCCTTTTTGGCAAAAAGGGGGAAAGATGCTGTGAGGCAGGTGTAAGAGCCTCGAATTAACCAACATTTCAAGATATTTTTAGAGGAGATTTATGCTTTTGAGCTCATACTTTTGATTTTTTTTTAAGCTTGTTTTGGTGGGATAGGTTAGAATGGCTACTACCTAGTTCTTAAAGCTCTTGCAGGATAAGTATTCCTGGAATAAATATTCCTGGAATAGATATTCCTGGATAAATATTCCTGTTGGAGGCCAGTGTGTGTCAGAAATAGCTTAGGTGTACCTGGTGTTGTCACAGCACAAAATGGGGCAGTAAGCATTTATCCTGGACCTGCACAAAGGCTGTTACTTGTCAGCATTTCTTTCTGTGCTGGTGCAGCCCACAGCTGTCCCTGCTGGTTATTTCTACCCTGTCAGACATCCCAGGGCAAGCATTTGTGCAAACAGCTTGGGAGGGCTGGGCTCAAGAATCCTTCTTAGGCTGGGCTGCTATGGAAAGCAAGATCAGGAGACTGATCTTGTCAGAGGATTCCCAGCCTCACTCTGTGCTATTTTTATTATTCAAACCGTGAGGTTTTGGCCATGTTCTGTGAATCTCTCTGTTTGTGTACACTGGAGTCCCCAGTAAGTGCTCTGTGTGCGTGGGGTGTATTTTACAGAGTGGCACTGGGAGGTTTTTTGTCCTTGTTTCTCACTCTCTGCTGTTCCCTCCCTCCCCACACCACCCTCAGGGTCCACCACCGCCATACTACGAGAACAGGGGCTTCCAGCCAGAGCCCCCCTACGCTGCCAGACCGGCAGCAGGTGCTCACCCCTACCCACAGCTCTTCGCCACAAACCCTCCCTCCGTGCCAAGCTACATCCCCAGGGTTGCCACCCACCAGTCCACCAGGCCAGCAGCACCCCCACCCAGGAGAACCTGTGCAGCCAGTAAGTTTTGGGGGGGGGGTTTCTCCTGGTTTTGTGTGAAAACCCACTGGGAATATTTCTCTGTCTGCTCTGGGGTACCCTGACCCCCAGGGCAGCACTGACTCTGACCCTTGTTCATGGAGAAAGTTTCCTAAACTTCAGGACAGACTGGAATCCACAAAAGTGTGAAATAGATTATAGAGATTTTGTAGAGAAATCGAGGTTTTGGGGTTTTTAGTTTGTTGTGGATGGAAGCAAGATGGAGGGCACAGGGTGTTGTCCTGGGTTTGGTCTTCATGCTTCTTCTTCCTCCTTCTCCATGGGCTTGGGTGGCATTTTGTAATTGGGCAGAAAAGTCCCCATTGCAGCTTTTTGGGATCAGTTATTGGGTTAAAAGGGAAAATAATCCAGGTGTCAGTTCTTCATTGGATAGTTTAGTCTTAAAAGACCTTGTACCAAGAGATTGTTGGCCATTTTGTGCCTTCTAATGAAAAGCTGCAGAACTCACAGCAGTGGGACTGTTTTACTGATAAGAAATAATAAACACCTGAGTGTGAACATGCAACACCATCTCAAGTGCCTTCAATCCAGACCCAGAGAAACCCACAGCTGGTACTGCCACAGTTTTGGACCTGAGATTTGTTGAAGTTAGATAACAAAGGAAAGGGACTTTCCCTTCCAAGTTGTGCATTGAAGGAGCCGCTTCCTTCATGCCTTTCTTCCTGTTGGGAAGAAGTGACAGCTGGCTGGGGTGCTGGTGAAGCTGGGGGCTTTGGGAGGAAGGATGGTGGAATGGGGAAAAGTCAGGCTAAAAACGACTGATTTTAATGTCAAATAAATAGTTCTGGTGGGTGGAACTTACTGGTGGGTGGAAATAACTTTATTTGTGAATCTAATTTCTCTTTTCCTCCTTGCTTTCACTTCAGGTCTAAGGAAAACCATAATAATTATATTATCTATATTAATAGTAATTTGTTGTGCAATTGCTGCTTTCTTCATCTGGTATTTTGGTAAGTTACTTTGTTTTTCTTTTTTTTTTAAAGAAAATATGCATTAAACTTTTCAAGTTAGATATATCCAGTCTCATTTTATGCTTTATTCTGAATTAAGGACAGAAAAGTCTTTGTTGCTTTTCTCCTAAGAGATGAACTAATGCTGCTTCTTAATGGCTCACTTTTGTTTGTGGGTTAAGGGTTTTTTTTTCTTTTTTTTTTTTCTTTCTTTTTAATGCTGCTGTTACTTTCCAAATTTGAGCTTCACTTAATTTTAGGTGAAGGGAGGGGATTGCAATAAGCGTGCAAACCTTAACTGCAGGAGTGTAAATGGTCAAGATGTGTTTTGCTTTGCTAAAATGGGTTCTCTCTTGGAGCAGAAGTCATTTACACCCATTTGTCTCTGTGGGGATTTTATGTAAACATTGCATGAGCCCAGCCTGTCTCAGCACTCTAAGTTGTACCATGGATGTTTGCTTTGGAAATCATCCCCAGCTGGGGTGGCTGAGCTCTGAAGCAGGGCTGGACCAATTCTGTTCAGCTCAGGTGAAATTTGCCTTGTGCTGTCTTAATTTAGCTTTCAATGAAAGCTGTTTTTCTAAAAAAGCAGGAAACTAAAAATCTGGTGGTTTTAGGAGCCTCTCCTTTCCATTCTGCTCAGGAGAAAAGAAGGAGAGATCCAGTGGAAGGTGTCCCTGGTGATTGCATCAGGGTTGGACTAAAATGATGTTTAAAGACCCCTTCCAAACTATTTTATGACTTTAAGGGAGTCAATTTAGAACTATTAGGATGACACTTTGTGTTCTTAGGGGCATTTGTTTGACTCATTTTGATTTAAGCAGGGTGAGTGTAATCTTTTTTCAAATGAGATCAAAAGTACATAATTGAGGCACTCGGTCTCTTCATCCTTTTCTACGTGTTAACACTTTGCCAGTGCAAAGCTGACTCTTTTCTGACAACTTCATGGTGCCTGATTATTCAGGGGAGGCCAATGGCCCAAACCCAATCAGCTGCACCAGAGACTTGATCTGTGCAAAGGACAGAGCAATCCATCTCTGCTGGGGCAGGCTGGGTCCCTCCCACCTCTGGGTTTAAGAGCCACTTCCAACGTTTTGCTCCATCAAAGTGGGAAAATCTTTGAGAGCTGGGCTGATGTGGGTGGTCACCAATTGTTGTGGTGTTGTGGGTTCCAGGATGAGGTGAAAGATGAGGATTGACTCCAAGTTCTTAGAAGGCTGATTTACTGTATTATCATTTCATATACTAAAACCATACTAAAGAAAGACAAAGGACACATCAGAAAGCTAGAAAGGAATGAATAATAAAAACCTGTGACAGACAGAGTCCCAACACAGCTGGGATTGGGATTGGTCATTAATTAAAAACAATTCACACAGAACCAGTCAAACATGCACCTGTTGGTAAGCAACCTCCAAACCACATTCCAAGCAATCAGATAATCATTGCTTACATTTCTTTTCTGAGGCTTCTCAGGTAGAAAAATCCCGGCGAAGGGATTTCTCATAAAATATCACAGTGACAATGTGCAGCCTGGTGGCTGTGTTTGTGTCTCCCTGCAGTAGAGAACAACTGTCTGAGCTCCCTGATTGAGTGTGGCTCCTCAGGGGTGTGCATGTCCCCCTCCCAGTGGTGTGATGGAGTGAGCGACTGCCCCAACGGGGAGGACGAGACCCGCTGTGGTGAGTGATACCAGCCAAGGGCTGGGGGAAATTTCAACTGCAGGAGCCTGGGGGCAGATTGCCCTGTACAGAGCTTGCCTAAGCTGCAACAAGGCTGTTTTAGCCCAAGGTCTGTCTTTAAAATGGTTTAGGATGTGTGTTATGTATAGATACACAGTTTGTTTCCAGCCCGATTGAAAAGCTGAAATAAAACGCTCAGGGGTTTGAGCTGCCTTGACTTTGAGTCAGTTTTTAAAATCTCACCTTTTAATTTGAGTGGGGTTTGTGCAGAACTGGACCTAGAACTTGTCCCTGGATGGAACAGTCAGTGGTGACTTCTCAGTAAGCTTGAGGTGATGACAAACCTGGTGGTCTTCACTCAAGCATGTATTTTTCCATGTATTTTGTATTCCTCGTTCTCCTCTTAGTTCTTCAACTAACTCATTTGTGTAAGAAAGCCTGGCCTAATCATTGCTTTGAACTGACAAGATGCCAAGGGAAGCTTTAGAGCTGCAGGTAGAAGGTGGAAAAACCTTGATTTGTCCATTCCAGAGGTCTGGCATCTTGGGTTGTGCCAGTGCCACACTGGAAACTCCAGTTGTGCTTTAAATTCCCTCTGCAAACTTTTATTCAGCACATTCTCATGCAGGGTTAGCATTTGCTGGCAGCTGTTCCACCCCATTTGGTTGAATAATGGCTTCTTGGAGAAGCCTGTTCCAATCTGTTCTTTTGCTTGAACTATTTTTTATTAAATTCTTGTGCAAGTAAATACATAATGGGACGTGGAATGTCAGAGCTAATTGCTTCCGGTTACATTCTTGCTTTACAAAGCACTTCTCTGGAGAAATTTGGTGTATTAAGAGATGATATAATCTCTTAATAATAAAGATATTAATAAGATAATATGATATTTTTTCAATATATCATTTTATTTGTACACAGTATGTAATATATTAAGAAATATATGGTTGCATAAAGAAAAGATCAGGAAATTTTCATTTTCATTCATTATTGCAATCTTTCTCAGTGGTAGAATATAACAGAAATTTTAGGATAAAAGCTGAAATGAAAGGATGAACCCTATCTTGTACATTTGCATTTTAAAACTGGTAATTCTTATAAATTGCCTTAGATGAAAAGAAGTCATTGCCATATTTCTGTCTGCTGGCTATTTACTCAGAATTTGAGTAGAAGAGAGCATTAAATTAAGATCAGTTCATACATGAAGTGGATATTATGGGTAACTACTTCCAAGAAGAGAGAGCAGTAATAATAGCATGTGGTGTTCTTAGTTTCCTTTTTTTTTTCTTTTTTCCCTTTATTCCTTTTCTGGCAGTTAGACTTTTTGGACCAAATTTTATCCTGCAAGTTTATTCACCTGTCAGCAAATCCTGGTATCCTGTTTGCCAAGATGACTGGAATGATGATTATGGGAAAATTGCATGCAAAGACATGGGCTACAGCGTGTAAGTGCAACCTCTGTCAGCCTCTGCTCAGAAAAAGAAAGGTTAAAATTTCCCTCTTGCCATTTTTAATGTGTCTGAGACTTTGCTGTGAAAATGTACTGGCAAAGGCATCTCTTCATCTTGCCCTGTTACATGAGATGCATACATATCAGGTAAAAATTTTATATAAATTATATAAATATTATATAAAAATAAATTTATAATATATATTTATTTTAAATATATATATTTATATAAATGATATAAATAAATGATAGAAATATCTTAACCCAGTAACTGTGGCTGGGCTGCACCACCAGGGTTCCACGTCCACAAAAATGAATATAATAAACAAAAATAAAGATTTCTAGTGCTGTCGTGTCAGAAGCTCTGGCTTGGCACAGCTCATTGTTATCACTTGTTTGAAAAGTGAAAGTACTGCTGGGTTTCATGGTGGACTTTGTGTTTTTTAGGGATACGTATTTCTACAGTCGTCCGGTGGCACCTGACGTCAGCTTTAAGAGCTACATGAAGCTGAACACAAGTGCTGGGAACATAGACTTGTACAAAAAGCTGTACAGCAGGTACCTTTGGTTAATAAAATGCTCTCTCCTTTCATCCAGGCTCTCTGCAGATGCTGGAAGAGGTGCAGGTTCTGCCTGCAGCACAATGCAAGCACAGTGGGGATTGTTGGAGGGAAAGAGACTTTGCTTTTAATCTGATTCCAGCAACTGTTCTTCCGTCTTTTTAAAAACACAGCTGTCATTTTTCCATCCTCCCTGTCCTCTTTTAGAAGAGAAAAGTGTCCCATCCTCTGTGCTGCCTAGAAGGCTGCCATTCAAAGGTGTTTTTCTAAGGCTCTCTGACCAGCAGCAGGAGTTTGTGCATGGGGACAAGAGCTACAAGCTGCCACACATGCACAGCAGCTGGCACAGCCTTTCTTTCAGTCACATGAACACACAGCGTGCAAAAATGGATCCTCACTGTGGAAAGCTGTCATGGTGTTCACAGGGGTCTTATGTTGAAGGAAGAGACAAGGATCTGATTCCATGTTTCAGAAGGCTGATTTATTATTTTATGATATATATTACATTAAACTATACTAAAAGAATAGAAGAAAAGGTTCTCATCAGAAGGCTGGCTAAGAATAGAATAGAATGATAATAAAGGTTTGTGGCTCAGCTCTCTGTCTGAGCCAGCTGACTGTGATTGGCCATTAATTACAAACATCCAACATGGGCCAATCACAGATGCACCTGTTGCATCCCACAGCAGCAGATAATCAATGTTTACATTTTGTTCTTGAGGCCTCTAAGCTTCTCAGGAGAAAAAATCCTAAAGAAAAGATTTTTTCCTGAAAGATGTCTGTGACAGAAAGCATCGTTTTTATTATCATTAAACCACTCTGAAGTTCCAGTGTCAAAACCTGTAGACTGCTGTGCCTGCAAACTCCCTGCAGCTCCCTTGTTTAGTTCTTCTGCAACAACTTCCTAAATCGGCTCCACTTTCTCTCTTCATCTTGCTTCTCAACAGGCTTACAAACCTTTTGTGCTCATGCCTGCAGTGTCCCACAGGAGAGTTTTGATGAATGCAAGGCATGGTGGTGTCACAGACATCTTCTATGGAAAATCCTTTTTTTAGGATTTTTCCTCCTGAGAATCTGAGAGGCCTCAGAAACAAAATGTAAACAATGATTATCTGCTGCTGTGGAATGCAACAGGTGCATCTGTGATTGGTCTCATGTGGATGTTTGTAATTAATGGCCAGTCACAGTGAGCTAGCTCAGACAGAGAGCACGAGCCACAAACCTTTGTTATCATTCCTTCTTTTTCTATTCTTAGCTAGCCTTCTGATGAAATCCTTTCTTCTATTCTTTTAGTATAGTTTTAATGTAATATATATCATAAAATAATATATCAGCCTTCTGAAACATGGAGTCAGATCCTCATCTCTTCCCTCATCCAAGAACCCCTGTGAACACGGTCACATGTTGGAGGCCAGATGGTGAAGAAAGGAGGGAACCCTCTGCGGGAAGATGGGGCTGAAGGCAGGGCATGTATCTGGAAAGGGCAGAAAGCAGCTGGCGGGTGGGCTTAGCTCTCCATTTCCTTCACTGATTGCCTAAGATGCTGTTTGGTATTTTTATTTCCCTGCAGTGGTTCCTGTGCCTCAGAAAGAGTGGTTTCTCTGCGCTGCATAGGTAACTCCCTGGCTTTTGCAAACTTCTGCTTCTTCATGCTTTGAAACGCCCTGGCTGTCAAAACCTTTTGGACCTGAGGCATTTACTGCTGCTTTTGCATGGCCAAATGATTTAACTCTGGTTCCCAAATAATGCAGTTTTAGGAGCAGGGTGGGAGAGGAGACAAGGAATACAGTGGATCCCTAGTTGCTTTTGTCTTTGCTGCCACTGGTTCCTTTAAATGACTTGTGGTGGAGCTCCATATCCATCCCTTAGCAGCTGCATTGGGATGTCTGTGGCACATTTGCTCTCCAAGATTCAGCAATTGGGTGGGCAGTGCATTTTTTATGATTTGATTCCTGTGCTGAGGACTCTCCTGGCTGTTGGTTGCTTTGTTGCACAGCAACAAAAAAAACCCAAAAAAACAAAAAAAACCCAACCAACCAAAAAAACCCAAGGAGAAAAAACAAACAAAAAACCCCGAACCAAAAACAAACAACCAAACAAAAACCCACCAAAAACCCCAAAAACAAAAACAAACAAACAAAAGAACCCACAAAAAACCAAAACCAAAAAAACCCAAAAAACCCCAAAATAAAAACAAACAAAACCCAAAGAACCCATAAAAAATCAAAATAAAACCAACCAAACAAAAAAACCCAAAAAACCTAAAGGCAAAAACAAACAAAAAAAAAACCCAAAGAACCCACAAAAGCAAGAAAAAAAAAACAAACAAAAAAAACCCCAAAAAACCCCAAACAAAAAAAAAAACCAAAAAAACAAAAAAAACCCCAAAAAAAAACTAACACAGTGTCTGAATGGCCAGAGACTCCTGAAGGGTGGGAAGAGTTTATGGTGAACCAAGGCCAGCAGTTGGCAGGTGGGGTTTGCAATTTAATGAGGGTCTGGGCAATGGCAAACTTGGGATTTGGTGTCAAGGCAGGGGTGTGAGCTGTGCTGTGCCCACCATGGTGTGTGCACCCCTCTCTCTGCCAGGGGAGCCTGGGGTGCAGAATCCACCTCCCAGCCGCCTCTTTGATGAAGCTCTGTGTGTTGCTGACCTTTCAGAGTGTGGCCTGGCCACCAAGAGCGCGAGCATCATGAACAGGATCGTGGGCGGCAGCGGCGCCGTGCTGGGCCAGTGGCCGTGGCAGGTCAGCCTGCACGTGCAGGGCACCCATGTCTGTGGGGGCTCCATCATCACCCCACACTGGCTTGTGACAGCAGCACACTGCGTGGAAGGGTGAGTCCCCCTCTGGTTCACAGAATTCCAGAATCACTGGGTTGGAAGAGACCTTCAAGACCATCGAGTCCAGCCCAGCCCCAACAGCTCAACTGAACCCTGGCCCCCAGTGCCACATCCAGGCTTTGTTAAACACACCCAGGGATGGGGACTCCAGCACCTCCCTGGGCAGCCATTCCAGAACTTTCTCACCCTTGCTGGAAGAACTTTTTCCCTGCTATCCAACCTGTATTTCCCTTGGTGCAGCTCGAGGCTGTGTGTTCTGGGTGTGTCAGTGCTGCTGCAGACAGAGCCCAGCCCCAGGTGAGCACAGGCACCTTTCAGGAGCTGTGCAGAGTGATGGGGGCAGCCCTGAGTCTCCTTTTCTCCAGGCTGCGCACCCCCAGCTCCCTCAGGGCTTCCTCACAGAGTTTGTGTTCCCAGCCCCTCTCCAGCCTCGTTGTCCCCTCTGGATGTGCTCAGTGTCCCAAGGTCCTTCCCAAACTGAGGGGCCAGAGCTGGGCACAGCACTCCAGGTGTGCCCTCAGCAGTGCATGGGCAGAATGAGCTCCCTGCTGCTGGGCACTTCATTCCTGATCCAGGCTAGGAGCCTTTGGCCTTCTTGGCCACCAGGACACACTTCTGGCTCATGGTCAGTCAGCACCCCCAGGTCCCTTTCTCCAGCCACACTGTCCCCATTCCATAGCATTGCAGGGAGTTATTGTGGCCAAAATGCAGGACTCGGCACTTGGATTTATTAAACTTCACCCTGTTTGCGTTTCTTCAAGCTGAAATGCATGAATTTATTCAGTTCTCCCCACTTTCTCCCTTAAAACTGAATTTCCCCCCCCCACTTGGCGTGCAGGTGCTTGGGGCAGTGTTTTGTCTCTGTTGTAAATTTGAAGTATTAAGGGAAGATTGGTTCTGGAGGAGGCTGGTTGCAGCTCATCTGTCTGCTTTCTACAGGAAGACTTATTTTATATTTTGCCTTATTTACAAAATGAAATGGGTGATGTTGAGCACAAATACCCAACCAATTTAATGTAAACTCAAGGCACCAAATTTAATGCCAGCCTGTACAATGTTTCCATGAAGATGTTGAATTACACTGTGAGAAAACCCAAAGGGAACTCCCCCCTCCAAATTCTCAAATATCACACTGCTGTAGATATGATCAATTTAAAGATGCCTGTGCCATTTATTTCTTCCTATCTTTTTTGCCACAGGGTAGTAAAGTCCAAGTCAGTATTAAATACAGATTTATATCTATCCAAGGAGCACTTTATGTAGCCATCAACAAGAAAAATAGCTGCTGCTTTGTACATTTTTCACCTATAAAAGAGAGTTCAGGGTTCTGTGGTGCCCTCAGAAAGGGCAAAAATTTGTTTAAAAGGTGGCTGCTTCTGTTAGAGGGAAAACCCAAAAAGCAAAAACATTGTAATGTTTGGTTGGCTGTATCACAGTTGAGGCTGAGGTAAGGAAGAATATTTGTCCTTAACCTTGAGAAAGGAATGCAAGTGTTGATTTCTACCTGGAGATCTTATCCCTCCTTTGTTGTCTGGATTTGAGCTCTGCAGTGTGCAAAAGCTTTGGGAATGGCAACCAAGCTGCAGCTGGCACAAACCTGGTTTTCAGCCTGATCTGGGTTTTTTTTGGACCTGGGGTGACTTGCAGGCACAACTGCCTTGGCACTTCTCATGGAGGGAGTTTTAACACTTGTGGCAAGTTTTCTATTAAGCTTTTGTAAACTCTGCTGGAGCACAAGAGGCTGCTTAAATAGCATGCTTAACTTTAAAAAACCCCACCAAAACCCAAAACCAGCCTAAAAAAAAATCCCTGGTGCTTTCAAGATAGTGAAATTCTTTCACTAGATCATGTTTTTACTAATTCTGGCTTCTGCTGATACCAGTGACATGTAAGACTTCAGAAATACCTGCCTGATCCCTCAGTCATGGAAATCAAAAGGCTTCAGTGTTGCAGTCTCAGACTTAATTTGTTGTGCTGAGTGATTAAGGGGATGGGCAGTGATACTTAACCCACTGCAAAGATTTTATTTAATATAGTTTTGAAACTAGAGCCAGGTTTTTTTCAAGTTACATGTCTGGCAATTTGTTTGTCTTATTCTTCAGAAATGGTAGTAAAATGAATGTGCATTTTTGATCACACAAACATTTGATTACACGAAGACAGTTTTTTGAAGGTTCTAATCCCTGTCTTGTCACCACAGAAGGAAACCCTGAGACCTTTTCTTTGTTCTGCAGACGACTGTCTGACCCACACAGCTGGAGGGTTTATGCTGGGATTCTCAATCAGGATGAGATGCTCTTCAGAAGTGGATACAAAGTCCAACTGATAATTTCCCACCCAGATTATGACACGGACTCCAAAGACAATGACGTTGCCCTTATGAAGCTGGAGACACCACTGAGTTTTACTGGTGGGTATTCTGCGCCTCTTAATAAGGGAAAAATCCAGTGGCAGTGAGCATGCCCTTTAAAACTTCTGTATTTCATCAAGCAGTCCTTGTAGACACTTATTGGAAGAACACAAAATGATCCTAAATGACCCTAGAGGCAGAGGGCACAGCCTCTGATTTCCTATACAGGATTTATTTAAATCTATGACATGGATAGGGGGTTTGGGCTCATCTCAATGATGTATTTTTGCCTCAGGATGCTCTGTGGTGCTTCAGTTTAGCCACTGCTGTGTGTGCAGACAGCTACAGGTGCAGTGCTGGAGCTGCTGATTAAATCCCAACTCAAGTCAGGTCAAAAAACCCTTCAGAACTCAACATTACAAGAAGTTTCTTTCATAAAAGCAGATGTAGGTTGTTTGTAAGCAATGAGTACAGAATAAAGAACAAGCCATTATTTCAATTCTAAGTGCTTTTTGTGTACAGGCCCTTTGTGTATCAGTGCATCAGTTTAAAGATACCAGGAGTGATCTGAAAGGGATTTTCTGCTGCTGAGAGCAGGGAGATTCTGTTCTCCAGGTTTTTGTGCTGCACACTTCCTGTATATATCAGTACTGAATCCTGCTTGTCTTGTGGTTATTTTCTGCAGATCTTTGCAAAGAAAATGCAGAGCTGTAATTTTCAGAATTTTTTCTTCTTCTTCTACTGCTCAGAAGCACTGGTGTTAATTGTTTTATTTAACCTGATGAATTAAGGTAGAACCACTAACTGCTTGTCCCTCACTTTGAGGTGGAGATGGGGTAGGTTTGAGGTGAATATGAGGTAGGTTTGAGGTGGAGATCAGGTACCCCTTAGGGAAAGGACAGCTGGTAAACTTTCTACTGCTTCCTGCATTAGAATGCAAAGTACAGAGGGAATGCATGGTGTGTAAGTGATGGCCATTTCAATTTATTTTGAGTTCTGTCTGAACATCCATCTTCTGTTTATTTTGCAGAAAATGTGAGGCCAGTTTGCCTGCCCAATCCAGGAATGATGTTCCAGCCCAACCAGCAGTGCTGGATATCAGGGTGGGGAGCAGAGTACCAAGGAGGTAAAAAGTGCTCCTGGAATATTTTGATCTTTCACATAAACCAGTCTTCTTCATCCTAAGAATATTGTTGCATGGGCTGATGGGACAGTTTGAATTACATCTGTTCATATGCTGTTTTTTCACCCATTTTACAGCCCCCAATATTTACCCAGGGCATTCTGTCTCAAAGCAAGTTTTGCATTTAGCAGACTTCAAAGGGACCCTCAAATCAGTACTTTGGGCCAGAAATGCCCACCCAGGAGATAATTCTGTGCTCCTGCTGCAGCAAGGGTTGCTGTGTGCCAAGCATGTCCTGTGGATATGGGAAAGGGCAGGAGCTGCTCCTTTTCACCACCTCAGGCTGAAAGAGAATAATGCAAATAAATTTGCAAGACTGGAAAAAGGAAAGGGAGGAAAAGGGTTTTTTGGCATAAGAAAGGTGCTGTGGGAGGTCCTCTTGACCTCTTGTGAACTTCTTATGTCTTAAATTTCCATCCTGCTACTTCTGGGAAGTTTATTTCATCTTGGCTGCTGGGATGTTCTGTAACAGCAGAGTAATGTGATGCTGATTCTGGTTTTGTCTTTGCACGTTTGTGCCTATTCCAATTCCAGGTAAAACATCAAATAACCTGAATTACGTTGCGGTGCCCCTCATAGAACGTTCCAGGTGTAATGCTGTTTATATCTACAATGGCATGATTCTGCCTACAATGATCTGTGCTGGAGACCTAGCAGGGGGAATTGATTCCTGTCAGGTAATTATTCCTAATTAATAGCTCGTAATTGTATAAAAGATGAAATAATCTGATTATTTTTGTGGCCTTGCTAGTAGGTTTTTTTATCTTTCTCTATATCTTTCCCTCTTTCCCTCTTTCCCTCTTTCTTTCTCTCTACCTACCTATTAAAAATAAATCCTATGCACCCCCAAAATTAAAAATTTGCATTACATCTGCTTGGGCATCTGGTTCTTTTGGTGGTGCATCCCTTTAAAGAGGAGAGCTTTTGTTTCATCATCTGAATGGCTGCCAGTGCTGAGTTCTCACTAAATTCCCAAGGGGGGTGAGGCTCCTTTTTAATGCTTCAAGGATGGTTTGTTACCTGGTACTTGAAAGTGATCAAATGCTCCTCATAACCACAGCATTATTATCTTTATTATATATTAATCACAGTGTTGTGGTTGTGACAATAAAGCCAATAATGCCAATCTTACTTAGAGGGCTCTGGACAAATTATTTTCATCCCATTGGAAGCAGACATCATTTAACACCAAAATTGCCACCATATCTTGTTTCAGTGACTCCCTAAATGGCAGGTGGGTTTATATTGAACCCAAAGCTGTGTTCCTGGGTGAAATGGGTCGTGTTTTTCCTGGTGGCTGTGTCACTGACAAGGTGTTTGTGTCCCCTGCAGGGTGACAGTGGAGGTCCTCTGGTGACTCACCACCACTCTGTGTGGTGGCTGGTTGGAGACACCAGCTGGGGCAGTGGCTGTGCCACTCCCAACAAACCTGGAGTGTATGGGAATATGACTGTGTTTACAGACTGGATTTATAAAAATATGCAGGTAAAATATTCAGATTTTTTTTTCATAAATTTTAAGGCACCACATCCTGAAACGTGGTTCTACTTAAAAAAAAAAAAGTGACTTGCATGGTAACTAAACTGTTTTTGTTGGGAAGCATCCAAGTGATTGTTAAGACAGAACTTGAACCTTTGTTTTCTCTTTTGTTTTGTCTTTTAAACAGGCAAACAGATGACAACACTCTGATTGCTAATCGATGTTCCTGAGGACAAGAATGAATGAAGCCATGGGAGCCTGGGATATTTATTCACTTTGTGGTTGATTTTATTTTTCCTCTTTGATTTTTCTTTTTATAAGTAACATGAAGGATTGCACACTTGGTTCTGTGCTGGCTACAGTGACAGATCTTAATCAGTGAAGGATTATCACAATGAGCACCTTTCTTCTCCTTGTGGTGCTTGGCAGACTCATTCTGTCAGCTGCTTGCTGAAATGTCTCTCTTTTGTTGAGTAACTTTCACTTGATGATCAGGTTTATAATGACAATTTCAATCAGAATTTGATTTCAGATTTTCGTAGCAGGATGCTGAGAGAGTTGGTTTAGTAGTTTTTAAATTAAATGTTAAGTAATGTGAATGTTGAATCTCCGAGCTGCTGGTTGGCAATTTTAAAAGAAATTAATTTTTTTTTAGTATAGAATTACAAAATGGTTTGGGTTGGAAGAGACCTTAAGGATCATCCACTTCCAACCCCGCTGCCATGGGCAGGGATGCTTTCCACTATCCCAGGTTGCTCAGAGCCCCATCCAAACTGGCATTAAACACTTAATGGATGGACCATCCTCAACTTCCCTGGGCAACCTGTTCCAGTGCCTCACCACCCTCACAGGGAAGAATTCCTTCCTAAAATCTAATGTAAATGTGCCCTCTTTCAGTCTGATGTCACTAGCCATTGTCCTCTCACTCCATGTCTTTGTCCACAGTCCCTCTCCAGCTCTCTTGCAGTCTCATTAAGGACTGGAAAAGGTGGTGAGATCTCCCCAGAGCCTTCCAGAGGCTGAGCAACCCCAGCTCTCTCAGCCTGTCTCCACAGCAGAGGTGCTCCAGCCCTTGGAGCAGCTTTGTGACCTCCTCTGGACTCGCTCCAGCAGGTCCATGCTGGGCATCCCAGAGCTGGATGCAGTATTCCAGGTGGGGCCTCAGGAGAGTAGAGGGTGAGGCATATGATGAAGGGAATTTTTCATGCACTACAGTGCAGGCACAGAAAAAAAAAAAAGTCACTGTCTATTCAGGTAGTTAAAAATCCTCAGGATCTCAACACAGCCGTCAGTCAGAGTCAGACTGGTGCAGTCTGGCTGCCTCAGACCTTACAAAAATGTGCCTTAAGCTGCTCTGAACCTAAAATGGGAGAGTTGTCCATGTGGATTTGGAGAGGGATGTCCCAGGCAGGGATGCTCTGGACTGGGATGCCCCAGGACAGGGATGTCCTGGATAGGGATAGGCTGGGTAGGAGGATGCCCCGGGATGCAGGGATGTCCCGGGCAGGGATGTCCCGGACAGGGATGTCCTGGACAGGGATGCTCTGGTCAGGGATGTCCCAGGCAAGGATGTCCCAGACAGGGATGTCCCAGGCAGGGATGCTCCAGGCAGGGATGCTCCAGGCAGGGATGCCCCAGACAAGGATTTTCTGGACAGGGATGTCCCAGGACAGGGATGCTCCAGGCAGGAGTGTCCTGGATGTGCCAGGCAGGGATGTCCTGGACAGGAATGCCATGGACAGGGATGCTCTGGTCAGGGATGTCCCAGGCAAGGATGTCCCAGGCAGGGATGTCCCAGGCAGGGATGTCCCAGGCAGGGATGCCCCGGACAGGGATGCCCCGGACAGGGATGCCCCGGACAGGGATGCCCCAAACAGGGATGTCCCAGACAGGGATGCTCTGGACAGGGATGCTCCAGGCAGAGATGCCCCAGAGCTGCAGCAGGAGCAGTCTCAGTGCTGAGAGGTCCCTGTCTGAGCACATTGAAGGTGACTTTTGACCTCTCCCTGCTGTGGAAGGGCAAAGGAGCCCAGGCAGGCTGTGCTGCACCTGGAGCTGCACACATACACACACACACTGGGACTGGATGTTTTGTACAAGGAAACACAAAGCTGCGTTTCTGCAGGACCAGATGAACTACCTCATTTGTTAAATTTGGCTTCTGATTCCTTAGAGCTCTCCTTTATGTATCCACCTGTATGTTTTTAGCAAAATGTAATTTGTATCCGAGTGCCACCTGACTGAGGATTTTGAAAATAATTTATAATCATGGTAGAGGATCAAAAAGCCATATCAAGTCACTTTGTTAAGGATAAATCTTTATTGAATGAAATGACTCTAGTAGTCTTGTTTTCTCTTTTGGTACTGAAATGCAATTATCTTACATGTAAACACTGCTCCAAATAAATTGGATTTTTTTTTTCTTTTTTTTTTTTTTTTACAAATAGTTTTCCTTAGTTGTGCCTTATATCTGTTTATTTGAATTTTGGTTTTGAAAGCAGGTGCTGGATTCAGTGTATAAAGTGCTTTGAGAGTCTGATTAAAAAATCCAAACCAACAACAAACAAACAAAAGAAAAACAAAACAAAAAAACCAACCAAAAAAAAAAAAAACCAACAAAAAACCCAAAAAAAAAAAAAAAAACCAACAAAAAACCCAAAACCAAAAAAAAAACTCAAGAGGACGAGCTGGGAGATTACTTTAATTCCAATACTTCAGGTCCTTGAATAAACCCAGGGAACTTGAGCAGGATGCCAGGAATGCTGAGTGGTTTTGGTGGCTGGCTCTGATGAAATTACTCTGACTTAATTGAATTAGATAAGGAAGTTTAGCCTGCAGGCAGTGGCTTGAGGGAGTCACACCCTATTCTGTCATTCCCCCTCCTGCTGCCTGCAGCAATGAGTCCCTGCCTCTCCTCTCCAGGTGTGAGATGGGTGTTTGCAATAGCACCTGTGCACCTTGGGGGATGGGGGAATGCCATGAAATCACCTACGAGTTTAAAGTACTTTCAAAAGAGAAATTAAAAAAAATTAGGTTTTTCTGAGGCTTCTTGCAGCACTGCAAGTCACTAATAGCAAAATGATGTACTGGGAGAAAGGGGAAACTGGCTGCAGTGTTCAAGAAGGTTGAGGAAGGTGGATGTTGGGGTGAATGCTGTACCAAAAGTCACACACCAGCCACAGGGACAAACCCTTTCTGTCATACCCAGCCTGAGGAGAAGGCTTCTACTGTAGGAAACTTGGAAATGACTACATCACACACTGGTATAAGCACGTTTTTTTTGTAGCTGGATGCAGAGATTACTTTTGGTTATCAAACCAAATCTTCCATGTGAAAAATGTCGTGAACACAGTGTGTGATGTATTTTGCATCAGCTTTCATGAAATGAAAGTGTGGTGTTTGTGAGGGTTTCCAGGATGAGGGAAGAGATGAATCTGACTCCATGTTCTCAGAAAGCTCATTTATTGTATTATGATATTATATTAAAGAATGCTATACTAAAACTATACTAAAGAAAGAGAAAGGATACATCAGAAGGTTTAACAAGAACGAATAATAAAAATGTGTGACTCCTCAGAGCCTCGACACAGCTGGACCATGATTGGTCATTAAATTAAAAAAATTCACATGCTCCAAATCATAATCCAAAGCAGCAAAACAGGGAGAAGCTGAAGCTTCTCAGCTTCCCAGGAAAAGAAATAGTGGCAAAGGTTTTTTTCAGAAAATTTCACAGTGACATAAGAGAGCTTTTGGAAAGGTTCTCCTTGCCCTGGGGAGGGAAAGGAGAAAGGCAGCAAAACACATGCTGAGAGATCCTTGTAATGTTAACATCCTGGGAGGTTTCTTTCCTTTTGGACATCCAAATCCTGCCCACCAATCCCAAAATGTCAGGTGATGCTGCAGACATCTGAGAGAAGGAGCCTCTTGGCCTTCTGCAAATCAGAGAGCTGGGAAAGGAGACTGAACAGAGCCAGTGGCATCCTCTGGATGCACCAATCACATAAAGGAAATAAACTTCATTTTCCTTCTAGGCTGGAAGGGTTTCATACCCGCTGTGAGCTCCTCTCTCCCTCCTGGGCTGAGATTTAGTGCTGACACTTTGCAGAGGTGTCTTTTAGGTGATAGCAGGAAAGAGAACAACCCCAGCAAGCCAAAAACACAAAGGGAAGTGGGAGATCATCACTGTCATGCATTAAGCTTCATTGAGGAAAGCTAGATAATTTGATTTCTACAGTTTGTGAATGATACAGCTTCCATCATTAAAAAGAAAAAAATTCCAACAAAACACACCATCCTCAGAGTGTTAGCTTTTTAATGATTATTCCAGTGGTTGCACAGAGTTCACAAAGAAAATGTTTATAAATGGGATAATGTTTATTTAATCACAACTCCCCCAGTGGAGCTCTTTATACAAAGGCAGCTGTTTGCATATGATTATGGAAAATAAAGAATAACTGAAAACTAGAAATTAGTATTAAAGGTCTGGGCTGATGCTACATTTTTATGGGATTATATGAAATTCTTTAGTAATGCTAGAAGATGAGGAGAAAAAAAACCTTATGAAAAACAAAGAGATTACAACAAGCTGAATTCTCTCAGGTACTGGCAGGCTTTGGTGAGACGATCAACTCTTTGGCTGAGATAATTCCTGGTTTTAGCAGCTTCAGAATCCTCATCAAGGAGAAAGTTTAACTTCTCTTTATCTTGTAAAAGTTGCAGCATTGAGGTCTGCAGGTTTTCTCCAAAGTCATGAAGGACAGAAGACAGGATGATCAGGGGGATCTGATTGGCAAGGCGTTTGCTTGCTTCCTGTGAGATGGAGAAAGAAAAAGGCAAAATACTAAATTGGTAAAAAGAACTCAAAAATGAAGGATCCATAGGTAATCTGGTAAAAAAGTGGCTCCAAGATTTTAAAATGTTGGACTGAGTTACTGTTCAAGAAGGGAGTGCTGCTATGAACTAAAAATGTTTGCAACCAATGTCTTTTGTGCCTGAAATCTAAAAATTAAGAGTAATGGGGATGTCAGCTGCTGCTTTTCTTCCCTCAGCAAATTAAAGCCAATGTAGACTGTCCTCTGCTCAGCTTTGCCAGCTCTCACTGGGACAAGTTATAGGAGGACATTCCTGACAAACAGAACTTGTGCCCAGTTTCTGGTGTCCAACCTGTCTTCACTGAATGCTTTCAATATGTTTTGATGC